GTGACTGCTCTCACTTGTACAGTTACTTCCTCTACTGGTTGGAGCCCCAAAACAGCTACAGCTTCTGCCACACTCATCCTTCAAGACTCAGCTTAGAGGTGTCTATTGAAATGGCTGCTGAGCACACCAGCCTGCCTCCCCTATGCACCCCAAATCCAAGTTGTTGCTGTTGCAAGTAGGTGCTGAATCAGCTCTGACTCATAGCAACCGTATGCCTCGTCCTGCACCATCTCATGATCATTGCTATGCTTGAGTTCATAGTTGCAGCTATTGTATCAGTCTGTCTCAATGAGGATTTCTCTCATTTTCACTGAAGTTCTGCTTTACCAGCCATGATGTTTTACTAGAAATTGGTTGATCCTGATGACATTCAAAGCAAGGGAGCTGAAACCTCAACATCCTCACTTCTGAGGAACATTCTGGTTGTATTTCATCTAAGGTGATTTGTTCATTCTTCTGGAAGTCCATGGTATATTCTTTGCACCACAATTCAAATGCATCAATTCTTCTTCTGTCTTCCTTTTTCATTTTCCAACTTCTACATGCATATGAGGGGATTCAAAAGATGATGACTTGGATCAGAAATATCTTCATGATCAAAGTCATCTTTGCTTTTTACCAAATCCTTAATATACTCTAAATAAAGAATAAATGAACAACCTGGTATAAAACAAGAAAAGATTCCATAGGTGTGCCTAAAATTATGAGGACATTTATTTCTAAAGATGGACAGCAGATGTGTGAAGTAATGGAAGGAATCAGAAGCCAGAATTCATCAGAGATGGGCTGCTGAGAAAGATGAAGAGGTCCCAGGAGGGGAGAAGCAGAAGAGGCCTATGAACACCTGGCAGGGAGATTGGTTAGAGCACTTGCCTAGAACCGTCCGAAAAATATTAGAAGTAAAGTACCCATAGCTGGAAAAAGACGAATCCTCAGCATGAAGAGATCCAGCCTGTCCTAAGCAAGTGGGGTATAAAGGACACCTTCTAGACACACTGATGTGTAATTTAAAAATACTAGGGTAAAGAAGAAAACCCTAAAAGTTCCCATAGAGAAAACTCAGATAGCCTAAAAAGAAATGACACTACATATCTCCTGGCCAAGACTCTATGTGGAAGGTAAGGAGTACTAACTTCAAAGTCTTCAGGTAAAACTATTTGGAACTAGAAATTGGTACCCAGCCCAACCAGCCTTTCTGTATGAGAGAGGAGAAAAAGGCATTTTCAGACCTGAGACTCAGAAAGTTTACCACCCAACATCAGCTCGTCCTGGCCCAGAAACTGCCCCTGCAGGTATGTGTAAATATGCCTGGATGGGTCACATTTCCAAAAGCTGGCTACTGGAAGCTGGTTTGCAAAGTGGTTAAGAACACAGGCTTTGTATTCAAATTCCACTGTAGGAATTCTTCCCTCTAACTTAAAAACACTTTGTGCTTTCTGCAATCTGATCCCAACACCCATCTGTCAGTCTGTCGTACCGTGGTGGCTCGTGTGTTGCTGTGAGGCTGAAGCTATGCTACAGATAGTTCACACACCAGCAGGGTCACCATGGTGGACAAGTGTCACTGGAGCTTCCAGACCACGACACAGCAGGAAGAAAGCCTTGGTGATCTCCTTCCCAAAATTAGCCAAAGAAAACCCCGTGGATCCTAACAGAATATTGTTCAACATAGTGTGGGAAAATGAGCCCCCTAGGTTGGAAAGCACTCAGAATACACAGTGGATGGAAAATGGCTTTGAGCATACCAATGATCACAAAGGTGGCTCATGACATGGGGTAGCTATGACTTAGAGCTGACAACAGCGAACAACAACAAATCTGATCAGATGGTAAGTTGGACACAGCATTGCATTGGGTTCTAATTTGTTTTGAAGCCATTTTGTTGCCTCCAGACCACATTGCTCTTTGTGATTAGATTTCTGGACAACATCCAGCCATCCTCCCAACAGCATTGATATACAAAGGAATCCAGAGATCTTATTAGTTAGAGCTCATAGCTTTAGTCCCAGTGATGTCCCTCTGATCTATTTTCCTTATTTAAGAAAGCTGACAGCTTTAAAGAGTTGCTAAGTTTTCACATAAGACTCATAAATGTAGTGAAAAAATTTCAAGATTTCTCTTTAATATCAAGGACTCGATACACCATTTCCTAAAAGTAGCACTTTGCCACAGTTGCCTGGTATTTTTAGCATAATTTGATAGCACG